GTAATCTATGATGATTCACGGGTCCCTCCCTCATCCCCCCACCCCCGCCCCTCCCACGATCGAGATAGTGAGATCTGGGCAGTTTTTTGTTTAGTTTCTAATCAGTCAGCCCCGCCTTGACAGCCTCCTAAGTCCTTCATCAAACAAAATGAAATCCATTTTCTTTGTGCAGTCAGTGTGTCTTGGCAGATGTGAGTCAGCATCCTGTTCAGAATGGCCTCTTTGGTTCCTTGCCCGTGGACAATAAAGACATTTTCCACGGAGTGCCAGATGCGGAGCTGACTTGGGGTTTCCACCCACAGAGAGGAGGAGGACACTCCAGGAGGCTGATTTTGTGGTTTGGGATTCAACCATTTATTTTAGACTGCAAGTGTTCTTTAGGTTTTAAAAATACAGCGGGTGGTTTAAAGAACCCACGACCCCAGACCTCTCTGTTTGAGCCCTGCCGCCAGCAGCGCCTCCCTGCGGCATCCCTCCGCAGAACAGTTGCTTCAGGGTCACTGCTATTTAGAACAGTGCCTGTCATTTCAGGCGTCCCAGCTCAGTGTTGGAAACAGTTTGTAGGTAGCCGGACCATTTTCATCCACGGAATAAGTGCGTATAGACTTCTGGGAGCCAAATAAATTTGTCTTAGGTCCTCCACCAATCTTGAAAATCTTAACCTCTTAGTTTGAAAATAATTTTTTTAAAAACGTTATCGACGAGAGAGAGAGAGAGAGAGAGAGAGAGAGAGAGACTGATTTGCTGTTCCACTTATTTATACATTCATTGGTTGCTTGTATGTGCCCTGATGGGGGATTGAACCTACAACCTTGGCGTATTGGGATGACGCTGTAACCAACTGAACTACCTAGCCAGGGCAAAAATGAATTTTTCAAAATCTGCCTGGATCACAGAATTTGTGTTCTCACCCACATTCTTTAGGACCCCCCACCCCCACCCCCACCCCCACCCCCCACCCCCACCCCCCACCGCTACAGTGGTTTCCCAATGTGAGCCTTTGCTTAGATTACTTTGTGACCTTCCATATCAAACACAAGTGCAATGGATGGGAAAGAAACATTCAGGTTTGTTGCTTTTTCCCCTTATTCTTTTGCCCCAGCCACACAGTTTCACTTAGATCTTCGGTCCTTCCGCCCAGCAAACACTTCCCTATACATGATTGGAGAGTGGGCCTTCGGAAAGCACAAACACAGAGAGGCAGAGCCTCGTCTCCTGGGCATCTGCGCCTACGTTACATCTGTTCGAGCGTTCCTAGTGGGCTGCGCTCGGTGTCCACTGTTGACGACGATTGTGCTGACATAGGGAGCTGAGTACTCAGGCCTCGTCCTTCAGCTACATCCTGGGCAGAAATGATGAGTAACCGGATGACCCTGGCAGCTTCCACCTGTGCTGGGCTGTTTTCCACGGGAGTAAACTGTCTCACCAATCATGAGAGCAGGTCAAGAGGAAGCAGCAGTGCTCTGAAGATAAGATAGTTAATCCCACAAGCAGATGTGTGCATTCTGGTGTTATGATACAGGATATGCCTTAAGTGGCTTTGACGAGGCAATTGGTCCTGGGCTCCATGGTTTTTTTCATCTTTCCAGTTCAACTTGACACTTGGAGACAGTGGTGTGCGAAAAACAGCTGATGTAGGTGAGGTTCTCAGAAGGGAGAGTGGGCTTCCACTTGCAGAAATAACCCCTGTTTAATTTCTGTGTAGTTGCTGGCATTAGCATTTTTGTAAAGCATTAGATTGTTCACGCGTAAGATGTCCCAGCATGTTGGAGGCTGCATCTCAGCAGGCTGTTTGCTTGGTAAATAATTTAGGTAAAATACATTTAGATTCCTTCTGACTAGAGTAGTTGCTGCCTCCTAGGTGAGGTTCAGGTTAACTACCCAGGCTCTTTATGAGGATTTCCAATAATTGGATTGGATTCCAACTCAGTGGGCTGGACGCTGAGGTACTATGAACAGAAAAGCAAAAGGCTGTTTTCGTTGACAAAGAGCACGGCTGCTCTGCAGTTTGTGCAGTGAACTCTTCGCAGGCGTTCTTTCCTACCTGGGTTTTTGGGATAAAGGTAAGCACTTCTTTCCCTAAAATTGTAGATGACCCTGCGCGGGACAGAAGCAGTTGGTAGAAGTGTACTTGAAAGTCTTGCACATGGGGAGATTTCTAAAGAGCTTTCTGTTCCTTCCCTGTGCTCAGCCATCTCTGCTGGTGACTCTTGCTGGTTCTTAAATAATCACCAGGGAGGTGGCTGAAATGCTGCTTCCTGGGTCCGAAGTCCTAGAGGGCCTTTAATCAGTAGACCTCAGGTGGGACCCAAGGGACCGTGTCTTAATAAGTGCTTCATGTGGTTTTAATTCAGGCAGGCCTGGGACCACATTCTGACACAAACAACTTTGCATTCGTTCCCAAGGGAGAATAGTTTTTTACGGTTCAGTGTTCTTGGTGTGCATTCAGGTCAGCAGCTCCAAAATTGATTTCAGGAAACATTAGGATTGAGGTTAGAGGATATAATTGTATTTTGTTGTTGTTCTCCAGCATTTTCAAACTTGGGTGAGAGAGTTAAGTACAAAGCAAAAAACATGTATATAAACACGTGGAGGTTTTTTTTCTTTTTCCTTTTCTTTATTTGAGAGAGAGAAAGAGAGAAACACTGATTTGTTGTTGAACTTACTTATGCATTCATCGGTTGATTCTTGTATGTGCCCTGAATGGAGACAGAACCCTCAATCTTGGCTTATCAGGACCATGCTCCAACCAAGTGAGCTACCCAGTCAGGACACACGTGGTTTTCCTAATATAAAGTTAGAGCCATAAAATAGAGACAGGGAGAGCGCACATGCCAGGGAGCACACATTAGTGAGGGTAGGTATGCATGCAGGTGTGTGTGCCCAGACACGTAACCACTGAAGTAGCCTCTAACTTGAATGAGTCGTTGAATAAATCTATCCAGCCCATACTTAATTGAAACTAAATACGTTAAAGCTCGATTCAGTTAGTGTTTTATGAAAGCAGAACTGGAGGTCATTGCTCAAGTCCCTGCTGCAGATGGAGAAACTGAGATCCCAGGAGGGCAGATGTTTATCCAGATGTTTATACGCGGCTGGGCTTCAATATCTCAGTTCAGTGTCTTCATCTATAAACTAGGAAGAGAAATAACTATCTCCACTGGTTGATGAAATGATATATTTTTTGTTAGGGTGTTTTGGAAACCAAAGAGAATTAATAGCTCTAGCTCCTAATTATTATGCATATTGTGTTTTATTAACTAAAGTATTTAGAACCATGCCAAGAATTTGTTGAGGTAAAGTCACTAGTTGATTCTAGATCATTGATTGCATGCCATTCACAATGTATTAAAAAAAAAACAACCCTTTCTGCTCATTATGGAACTTTGAAAGCATATGCTCAAAAGAAAGAAAACTTTAAATTACCCATAATTCCATCCCTCAGATGATCATTGTTAAAATATTGGTATAAAGGCTTTTAGATATTTTCTTATACATGCATATGTAGTTTATAAAAATCGGGTTATACTAGGTATACTGCTTTGCAACCTTTTTTCTTTCACTTAACAGTATATTGTGAATATTTTTCCATGTCAATTAATACTTTATACCATCATTTTAATTGTGTAATATCCCATTATATAAACAGGAGAATATTTATTTAACTAGTCTCTTAGTGGACATTGGGGTTTTTTCCCCTTCATTTTTGATATTATACAAAATGCTGAAATAAGCATCTCCTATGCAGAAGTGGGATTTCTATATTGACACTGCTACACTAAAAATTAGAGCTATAGTAATAGATGCTGCAGTTGACATAACTGACTCACATATTGGTATGAATTCACTTTTATTTTTTATACCCAGAAGTTCTAACTTATAGCTTTTTGACCTTTCTAATTTGCTTGAGAGTGGAGGATACCTTCTCTGTCAGCCTGCTCGTTGCCTGTGCTTCAGAGCATCACAGGCCTGACCTTTCTGTCGCTCTGGGACGCCTGATTATCTTCAGGCCAGGCAGTTTGGAGTGTGCATGTGACCTTGTGGGCCTAGCCACTCTGCACTCTCGCCCAAGAATTACTGCCCAGTTATGGCAAAGACTCTTTATTAAACAGAGTTCATATTCAGTCAAGAGAGAGATGTTTCGCTTTCTGAATTCTTAAAATCGTGCTTTCTTAAGGTAAATGGCATGTTAGGAGTATTTCTGACATAAAATTGGAAACTTTCAGATACCAGAAGACATTGCTTATCTTTGTAAATACACATGTTCCAATTAAAATAGGTGCTAAAATATTTTGGTGGCACTTCAAAACTCCCAATTTAGATTTAATTTAGATTAAAACACTTACTCTTTTTAATAAAGTTATAAAATTGATTATTAAAATTGCCTATTGAAGATTAAAAGCAGCGGAACCTTTATTTTCCTTACAAAACAATTTAGTCTTCAATAAATATGATTGTATTAATCAATTATGCTATTAAAATACAACTGCCATATTAAATATGACTCATTTGTCATGACAGTTTCTATAATTATAGAAATTATACCTAGCTACTTATATAGTCATACTCCTGCGATAAATATAAATAATCGTCTCTATTAATCCAGTCCGCAGTTAGTGTCTATTAAATCCCCAGTTAAATGGCAATTTGGGGACTTTCACTTAAAATCCTTCTAAATCTTTGTTGTTCCATCTGGCTGCCAAAGCTCTCCAAATGCACCTCCTACTGTTGATTCCAGAAACCTAGTTATGAATAAGATAGTTTTTTTAAATACAAATATTTAAAAGGTCCATTTAGGCTTGAAGTTTGAAGTTGTCAGGGTAAAAAGAAAAGAGGGGGTACATATTGGGATGGAGGGGGTTGACAAAAAGAGACAGAACAAATTTTGATGTCCTGGTATTTTTATTTGGAAAACAGTATATACATTTTTATTTATAAAACTGTTTGAGCCCAAAGGACTACAGCATATGGTTAACTCTTCGCAACTTGTATTTCCGTAGGTGTGGATGAGGTCACCATCGTCAACATTCTGACCAACCGCAGCAATGAACAGAGACAGGACATCGCCTTCGCCTACCAGAGAAGGACCAAGAAGGTACAGAAAGTTTAGGGGATGGAAGGCAGTCCTGGTTGAATTTTATTTCCTCAGCCCTTGTTTTTTCTTCTCCTGAGCACAGGCTTGTATCAGCAAGAGCTTTCTGGAATCCTTAGGGACCCAAGGTTTCCTCTTACAACCTTGTAAGAGTCACAGCTCACACACATTGTTGCCCCCCGGAGTGCGCCTTACACATAGAGCGCGCCCTTCTCCAACCCACAGTGTGTGCAGGAGCCATTCTAGGAATAGACAAGTAGAAAGCCGTCGGGGGTAACAACAACAGGTACCATTTATTGAAGGCTTACTTTGTGCCAGGCATGTAGGCCATTTGCATGTAGCAGCAACTCATTTCATCTTTATGACTTCTGCTGACTCTTGATAAGATGTTTTCTAATTTAATCTTAGGACACTAGGTTTCACCAAATATTGATCTTGACATGCTCCTTTCATTCTTAAAAACAAACAAACATACAAAACAACAGCGGCACTTGAATTCTAAGAGCTTTGCAGCGAACGGACTGAGTAGTTCATTTGGTCTACCAGGCTATCTTCAACATTTCATGTTCCCACTCTTTAAAGGGTCTTTGTGTGCTTTTTCTCTTGCTTGTCCACTAATGGTTAAAGGACAACCCGGGGCTTATTCATCCTTTATTTTGTTGCAGTGTTAGGAAATTTTATTTTTAAGAACGGGCTGATTTATTTTTAACTACTTGCTATTAAAAGCTTTTGATTTATTCTTGGATGGTGCAGTAAGTGTGGCTTCCTGCAGGTCCTGTTTGACTTATGGCTTTCACTTGCAGCCACAGTGGAGGTGAGCTGGAAGCATCCTGGAAAATATTCCTGCTCGTGAGGTTGCCATGACCACCAGGGTTCTGGGAGTGGCGGGTCAAGCCCTATTACGGCTCCCCACTCCTCACCGCCTAAAACAGTTGGGAAGGACATAAGTAGGAAGGCATCTGGCTTCTCTCATGTCATGAGCATTAAAATTCTTCTCCCAGCCTTAGTCAGCCTTGGGCTAAGGAAAATGGTCATCTTTTACAGAAAGATACACAAACTCCTTGAGATATCTCGTTTCTGAAGGAAATCCTGGACACAGACCTTACTGTTTTGAACGGGCTGTTTGCATAAGAAAAGAGAAAGCCTGTATTCCAGATCAGTTTAGGGATATGGCCTGAGGCTGCCAAGGCAATGAACTTGAACAGCACTGGCAGAGCTAGTAGAAGTAGAGAGGAGCTGGGGGAGAGGGTTGATTTTATGTTGCTTTCATGGTCAAGCAGATGCCAGATGCCAGGTTTCTCCATATAAAGGAAGATTATGTTTTATTTATCAAACATTTCTGGAGTTTCTGTTAAGTGCAAAGCCTTGTGCTGGCATTATGAGAAGCAGGAAGTTGAACACCCATAAAGTATTCATAATAGAAGTGAAAGAAGGCAGTAGGTACACAAGTGCTATTTGAGGCTTGAACAGAGAATGGGTAGAGGGGAGTGTCAGGGGTAGGTGGAGTTTGGAATTACCTAACCTCAAAGTTCCAAATTGGAAAATTGGTGCTATAATTGGAAGGTGTTGCTTTTAAAGTCCCCTCCTACGTGCTCTGTGTAACTAGGCCAGCGGGTAGCAGGAGAAAGTCCGTGGTGAAAGGCTTGGGCCGATGATTTCTAAGATCCATCTCAGTTCTCAACCTCTCTCTCTGAACGATTCGGGGAGACTCTCTCTGAAGTAGGCTGCACATCACCTCTTAGTGCCTGCAAGTACCTCTAGGGGCTGAACATTGTATCAGTAGATGCCGTGGGGTGCTGCTGGCAAGCAGGAGAGGAAGACAGAAGGGAGAGAAGCAGAGGGGGGAAAGTGAAAAGAGAAGAAAATGATTACCACAGCAAGGTGCCGTCGTCAACCGATGACCGTGATTTGTAGGACATGTAGTCCCCGAGGCAGCATTGTGAAGAGCCACGTTGAGTTTGGGGGTATCTGTTTACATCCACGGTTGCCAACTCAGACCTCTCCTGATGTAAAGTCTGTGTTAATGTGACAGTGGAACCCTTAAGAAATAATACGCAATGGGGAAGTCAGTGGGGTAATTGAGGTGCTTTAGCCCGCCATCGTCACCATCAATCCCGTCCCAATTTGGTATGGACAAATAGATATTTTCTTGGTCTTGGATGAAGTGTTTTGCACAGGGAGGCTTCATGAGCCACTCCCAGCCATGTTGGGGCCTCTGGTCCCTCCCGGAGACTTTTTGAGGAGCCGCCCTTGGCACAGCTGTACACATATCTTTTACGGAATGTAACAAGACTCTGCTTCCCCGGAGGCTCCCCTCTAAAACCAGCTCCCTCTTATTAGGGGCCTTGACCCCAGAAAGTGCTCCGTCTTCCACAGACTCTTGCCACATGCAAGTGAATCAAAAAATGCCCTCATACTCATTGCTTTCTGAGGAATTGCATACTGCTCTGCTTTCCCTTTAATGACAGGGGGAGAAGGCAACACCTGCTCAGATTTTAAGGGATGATTGTCGGAGCGAAGTCCGATCTTTCGCTTCCTGACGCTTGTGTCTGTTGAAGGACCTGCAGCTGAGGGATAGTTTGATCCAAGTCCCTTGGATAGTCAAAGAGTCACAAACTGCATCACAAACACTTCCCTCTTACTTTCGTTTTACTTACCAGTTTTAAAGTGAATATTGGTTACCAACCAAGTTTCCCATGTTCTTGCTGTTTTTGCTAAAGGAACTTGCATCAGCACTGAAGTCAGCCTTGTCCGGCCACCTGGAGACGGTGATTCTGGGCCTATTGAAAACACCTGCTCAGTATGATGCCTCCGAGCTGAAGGCCTCCATGAAGGTAAACACGTCGAGTCTATCGAATCTGCCGTTAATATTTGTAAATTACGGCTTTTGGAGTGTAATTAGGTGATTTTCGGTTTTGTTGAATTCTCATTTGGAACCATCTTATTTTGAATGAACTGAAGCTAAAAGTCTCAGGATTTGTACCAAAAATATTTCAGTTACTTTTTTTTAAGACTGTAAAGAAATTTCATGATGCTGAGAAGTCAGTTACCAGCTGCTACTGCTTGGCACCTGGGCAATTGAACTACCATTTGGAAAAACTACTTCCTTGATTACACTTCCTCCTTAAAAACGATTTGTTACAATATTAAGGCAAAAGTAAAACTCAGAGGTTTTGGTAAGTGAAACTTGCAAATTTTGCCCATGCCCTGGGGTGTTTCTTTTTCTGACCTCCTTATCAGTTCCGTTGCTTGGTTCAAATTTGGGCAAAATCAGAACATCACAGTGCGTATGAAGAGTGATTTCAGATTGTGAGTGGTATCTTGTGTTTTGTTTAAAGTATGGTAGCACAATACTATCTTTTGCTTTTCTATTCAAAGTTATTTTGAACATGGAGTTTTGGTTTAAATAAGATCGGCAGAATTACAATTTGGAAACCCTCTGAATGTTGTGTGCACCTAAAACATCAAGTATTATATAAATGTAACAGATGCATAAACATAAGTGCATGTTACAGCAAAGTATCGTAAGACCCTTTTCAGTGCGTGGCTGCAGCACTGAGTAATCCGATACTGCCCTCTGCCGATGAACCTGGGGAAAGCCTCCGCCTTAGGGGGAGCGCTATCGTTCTGATTTTTCACTCTAAGTCCGAGAGGCGTTTTCTGTGATGCCACTGTTCCCGATTATAAAGAGACCGAGCCTGTCACCAGAGCTAATGTCACGGTTCAGTTGTCATCCCTTTCCCCAGAGAACACCCCGAGAGCGAGGCAGCTTCACATGCCAGGCATTTCCAGGGTCCAGAACTTGATAGATCGCTCAAGGCTTGCTGAAAGATTTGTTGTGAACTCTTTCTCCCTTCACTTCTTGAGTTTATTTGAGCAGACTTCCTAAGCAGGCTATAGTATTGCAGGGACGGTATAATTAAGAAGGATAAGATGTCAGCAACACTTCATGATCCTGCTTGATAAAAAGAACACTCCTAAAAATGAAGTCGTGGGGCCTTTGGAGCCATGTGAGCTGGCTTCTCCCAGGTTTCTTATGACCATCTTCACTTCAGATCAGTTTATCTTATTTTCATCAAGAATTCATTTAGTTGTGACTCAGATGATTTTACTAGTATCTATTACCAGGATTAGTCACTTGAAACGGGCCTGTTTGAGATGTCAGTCACCATTGTAATCTATGTAATGGGGCCCCATAAAATGTGCTTTGACTTTTAAACCTTTGACCTTGCGCCAGCTCTTCCATTAGCTGTCACAGCTGAGTACCCTTCTGAAATTCATAATGCTTGAAGTGACATTAACTGAACTATGCTTTCAAAACTTTTTTTTGTTTTGTTTTGACTTCTGGCAATACCAGTGGCAATATCTGCCATATGTTACAGTAGAAGTCGTCCCTGTGATAGGAATTGTGGATAATCTGTGGAAAGCCTGGGCCAAGTGTTAGAGATCGCCAAGGTCACCTTCGAATATAGAGAAAAAAAAAACTATTAGAATTTCCAGATATTAACACTGGTATGTCAGTGACAGAAGGAAACAGATCTTACATTGCATACCTGCTTTACATTTCTATGTCAGGCTATAGCATTTCTTCCAATGCATGCGTTATTTTTAGGTGGAAAAACTGGCCTCTAAAATATTTAAAGATGGTAATCATTCTATAACATTTGTATAGAATGCTTTGTAGACCTTTTGCTAAGAAGAAATGAAATGTTGTCTTTGCTAGAACCTCTGTGATTAAAAACTGTAGGAAGGGCATTGGCTCATAGATTAGATTAAGAATAAAATTCGAAATTAACTATTAACCTGAGGCTTAGTTTATATTACACAAACCACTTTTCAGGAGCATATAAACTCTAATAATTTTAATTAATAGCTGACATACTTTTCATGTGTATCAGTAAGTTTCTTATTGTAATAACACCTTATAATTGATCTACATTTTAAACAGTTGTAATTCTACTTAGTTCAAAGTGATATTTCCATATTCGGAAAGACAAGTATTAGAGAATCCTCATTATTAAATCTTGACTTTGATCATGAAGCAAGCTTTGAAATACATGTTTCATGGAGTCCTTTCAAGCTATCTGGCACACTCAAAAGTGTATATATTAAATTTGAATACATCACCCATCAAATTCTTATTCCTTAATAAAGTGTTGGTGTCTAGGTTTATTTGGCACTTCATTATTTCCCTTTGCTCCCCTAAAATGCCTGAAGATTGCATAGTAATCAAGCAAAAATGGAAATATAAGAATGAAATTTTTAACATTAACCCAATTTTACATTTCAAAGAGGTGAAGCTAAAAATATTATCTATACCTATCCTTGGTAAAAAACAAAAAACAAACAATTCCAATATAATGATGTTGGCTGCAAATGACAATGTAAAACCTATATTCCTTTATTTTATTTTGTTTTTTTTTTAATTTTTACTTATTGATTTTAGAGAGAGAGAAAGTGGAGAGACAGACAGACATCAATTTGTTGTCACTTATTTATTGGTTGATTCTTGTAGGTGCTCTGACTGGGGATTGAAACTTTAGCTGTGGCTTATGGGGACAATGCCCTAACCAACGGAGCTACTCAGTGAGGGCTATGCCTTTTTTAAAAAATAACTGAGCAAAATTGTTTAATAAAAAAAAGTTGTTTCCCATCTGTTAAAATAATGGGCGATTATAGAAATTGAAAAATAAAAAAAATGGGAATAAGAAGTTACTCATTTTATAAGCCCATCACTAAAAGGCAAACACAATATTTTGGTGTCTCTCCCTATATACCCCCCCAAACACACACACACAGACGAGCTCAAATATGTCACAGAATACAAGAATACTACTTGTATTCTGGTGAAACATTTTTTAAAGGAATAGAAAATAACATTAGCTTGTGCTGAGGAATATATTCCAGAGCCCTCAGTAGGAGCATAGAAAGGAGCATGCTTACAGACTCAGCCCATGTTTGCAGTTTACTGGCTTGAGGTCAGTGAAGTAGACAAATGGCCAGGAGGACTTCCCTGCTGATGTTTGTGATGCCTGCTGGTTCACAGGGCCTGGGGACCGATGAGGACTCTCTCATTGAGATCATCTGCTCAAGGACCAACCAGGAGCTGCAGGAAATTAACAGAGTCTACAAGGAAAGTGAGTAACCCTAGTTCTGTGATGCAGCCTCTCAGCCCAATTTCTCTAGCCCCTATCATGGCTACCGAGATAGGAGGCCCAATTACATACACAGAAAGGCCTGCCCTCTGTCCAGGGGTTTGCCATGGTCCAGGTACCTCTCCCCACCTCCTGATGGGCCGGATTTTGGTTATTACATTCCACTGGAATGTGTACAAAAGAAAAGACAGAAGAGAAATCAAAATGCATTTAAAAGATCTGATGGGAGAGGTAGATGGTATACATGGGTTTCATTTACTGGGTGTTGTCCAGCTCTGCTCAAGAGGTTCCCAACTCTGGACTGGATGGTTGTTGCAAGAGGCATGTGGACCTGTGTGCACCAAGAAGTATAGGAGGCTGTGGGTGGAAGAAATGATGCAGCTCGTGTGTGTGTGTGTGTGTGTGTGTGTGTTCCTATGTCTCAATATAGATGCTATTTTGAATAATACAATGGAAATTCATTAACAAATACTGCTTAATTCTTACTAGTTTTTGCCATTGTGCATTTTCTCAGTCAGTGGATAATAAAGCACAATTGTGTGTGTGTATCTGTATGTATGTGTGTAGCCCGTCAAATGTTTTGATGTTCAGAATGAGTATTCATAGTCAAGAAGGTTGGGAACCAATATTTTAGCCACAGAAGAGATCACTGATTCTAGGTGAGCCTGAGGACTGCTGATTTGATCTAGCTCTGTCCCTTGTTACTGACAATAGCTTTGGCTCAGATTTTATGAACATACAATTCATTGTAGGAAATCTACTCGCATTTGGGCAGGTACATCCATCCTGCCAAAGCCACTTCTGCTTTTCAGAGGCTTTGTGGGCAGGGGTAATTGGAGTGGGTGGGTGGCTGGCTACACAAGCAGGAAGCCAACTCCTATGTGATGTTTTCCAAGTGTACAAGACTGACCTGGAGAAGGACATTGTTTCTGACACATCTGGTGACTTCCGCAAGCTGATGGTTGCCCTTGCCAAGGTTGGTTTCCGGTTTATTTCTTTGTCCTTGCTTCCTCCCAAGGCGAGTCACATCCCTCATTTTATACTTGGGAACGAATTCACTCAGTCCTCTGTGCCTGCATCAGAAATTGCAGCTGCATTTTCGATGGTGGGTCTGCACGGTCCCTGAAGAGCTGTCATTTTTGTGTAACAGGATTTCTTATCCAGCAGAACTGCACGGTCAGGTGGACTCTGGGGGCCAGAGGAGTGGGAGGTGGCTTTCTGGGCCTGGCCTGGATTTATGTGCCAGCCCTTGCCATGGGACTTGGGGAAGGTCACTTTGCCTCTGTGGTCACCTAGGACCCCGTGGGAAGTGACCCTCTTGTTTCTCTCTCCTGCTCTCACTTCTTAGGAGAGGATTTGCGCATGTAGTCTTTGGCCTGGAGAGGGGGTGAGGAGGTCTTTGTTTGCTAATGCAAACACATTGATGTGAAGGACAGGCATTTCTCCGAATCTGAGTTCTGACCAGTGTGCTGTTCAATGCCTATGTGTCAGGGGAGGGAGGAGAAATTATTTCCTCTAGGAACCCTGACGACAAATGATGGCTCGGCACACTGCCCCCTGCCCACTCCCGTCTCCGCCACGGGAGCACCTCCGCGCAGCCGCCCTGCTCTCCTCTCCGCCCCCCGCCCTGTGTGCCACTGTCCTCTGATCATATCGCAATCCATTTTCACCATTTCAGTCCTCTGATCAAAGCCCATTTATGCTGCATCAAGTCCAAACTTTCTGCTTTCTTAAAAAGTCCTCCGTGCCCTGGTTCTCCCTAACCCGATCTTATCAGGGTTCCCTCGCCTTCTGCTCCAGCTGGGCGTCACCCGCTCACCGGTGCTGTCGGACTCAGCCTCCCTGTGCTGTTCCTGCGGTGCTGCGTGGCGCTCTCCCCCTGCTCTGCGCCAGCCCCATCTGACTCCTCCTTCCTGGGTCAGCTCAGCCCTTCCCCACTGTCCGCAGACCTTGCTGACTGTAAGGGGCCTAGCCCAGGCCTGGGCACCGGGGAGGGGGAGGACGAGAGGCACCACCGCCACTTCCCCGCCTCAGCTATTTTACCCATCCTTGGTCTTGTGTCCCTGTCAAAATGAAGAAAAAGTTTTAAGTGGGCATCTGTTCAATAAGTTAAATAATGGCTTACATGAGTTGGAGAGAAAAACAACGTTAACAATGTGCAAAGGAATATATTTGATGTTCTTAATTTTTTTTCTTCTGTAGGGTAGAAGAGCAGAAGATGGCTCTGTCATTGATTATGAACTGATTGACCAAGATGCCCGGGTAAGTACCAAGATTTTTTGGTGCAAGTTTCCATTTTGTGATAAGTCTCTGGATAGATTGTATAGGAATTATCTGTCCTGTGTAACAAATCACCTCCAGACGTAGTAGCTTAAAGCACAGAACTTTTATTACTGCTCAGTTTCTGTGGGTCAGCAATTGGGGAATGGCTTAGCTGGTTGCTGTGGCTCAGGCCTGTCATGAGGTGGCAGACAGGATGTTGAGCAGGGCTCCAGTCACCTGAGGGGCTGCTGGGTCAAGAGGATCTGCTCCAGGATCGTCCAACCGCATGACTGTTGGTAGAAGGCCTTGGTATCTCTTCACGTGGACCCCCATGGGGCTGCTTGAGCATCCTTACAACATGGCAGCTGGCTTTCCCCTCAGTGAGTGATCCCTGGGAGGAAGTGAGGAGGAAGCCAAGTGCTTTGTGACCTAATCTCAGGAGTCACATGCTGTCACTCTGTCCTATTCTCTTCACTAGAAGTGAGTCACTATGTCCGGCCCACAGTCCTTGGGAGGGGAAGTAGCCACCACATTTGGAAGGGAGGAATGTTAAAGAGTTTGTAGGCTTCGTTTTCACTTTGTGAGAGCACGGGTTATTGCCAGGTGTCCCCTTACACGGTTGCTGTCAATTACAGGATCCGCATGTGACTCACATATGCTCGTTTAGCCTTTGTGTGTGTGTGGAAGTACCAGTTTCTGCAGGGTGTGATACAGCTGTGCTCACTGCTGTGCATTTGGTACAAGGGAACGCCAGCAGAACAAACACTATGAGAAAGCGGAAGAAGATGGTGGAGTCGCAGGCAGGGGGACAGGGAAGGTGCAGATGCGCCCTGCCTCCTTTAAATTCTTGCCAGTTCTAGTCCCGTAATCCCTGAGAACTGTTTGTTAAGCTGATTCACGTCACTATGCACTACATGCCTTTCCCAGAGGGTCAATGGCTATCTCAAGACATTTTGTAAGAGCTGCAGAACAAAATTTATTTAAATTCATTTTCATTTTAAATTTCAGTATATTTCACACAGCACTTTTTGCAGGCAGTGAAGGGTTTTAAATAAAATAAAGAAGTTGGATTTTGCACCTCCCAGATAGTAAATGGTCACAGAATGTGTATCTACCTTTGCATTAGCCTCCCCTGCTCCCTCCCTGCCGTTAGTGTTACTTATGGCCCCTTTAAATTTCCCGGAAACTGAAAATAAGGTTGGATTGGCTCCTTTTTCAGCTCCATCTCTAAGAAGCTTGCTGCGTCTCTAAGAAGCTTGGGTGTGGGTGCCCGCCCTACAGCTGCCTTCAGTAGCTGTCCAGTATCTTACTTGCTGTTAAAATGCCAACAAGGAAGGAGGGCTGGATATGCTAATGAATGTCCCTCCATGTGTGAATGGAAGCTCTTGGTCCTATCTTGGGTGTTTAAAGAAGGAGATTTGTACAGCGCTGACCTCACAAACAATCCAGTCTCGTGCCCCTCTCTCTGTGTCTAAGGAAAACCGCTCTTGATTAAGACTTGTGACCTAATTACTACATTTTTGCTCACAACTGCAGCGCAATCACCCTTTCTCATTTGGCATTTTGAATATGTAGGTTTTTCTTTTTTTTTACCTGACCTTTTTTATGACCCTGCTGTGTGACCTTTCCTGGCGGGTTGTGCTTGTAGGATCTCTATGATGCTGGAGTGAAGAGGAAAGGAACCGATGTTCCCAAGTGGATCAGCATCATGACCGAGCGGAGCGTGTGCCACCTCCAGAAAGGTGGGTGCTGTGCGATCCCAGCCTGGGGTGTCCGTGTGGGGGTTCCTGTCTGCCAGAGCAACGTTCACTCTCCACGTTGTGCCCCCTGTTTCCCTCAGCGGGTCCATTTGCCTTTCTCTCCCGTTCTGGATCCTCTTGCCCCTAAGTAGTTCCCATGATTTGGGGCTTTAGCTTGCTGCCTCTTCTGGTCTGAGGATCATTTTATTTTGCTATATTTGTTGAAGTAATAGACTTTGCTGGATGCTATGTATCCACTCAGGAGAGATGGAGATGTTCAAACGTGGCCTGGGCAGTGCCATTCAGGACAAGTGCCTGGGACAGTTCTCCCAGGGCAATTGGTGCAATGTCATCTGTGGTTTACAATGGCAGCCTCAAGCCCCTAAGCCCCTAGGAGGCTGTGATTGTCCTTTTTTTTTTTTTTAAATCAATAACCATGTGGGGGATCATTGACGTCTTTGACCAGTGGCTCTGTTACAGTGATTATTTTTGCTTTTTCTTAGTATTTGAAAGGTACAAGAGCTACAGCCCTTATGACATGTTGGAGAGCATCAAGAAGGAAGTCAAGGGGGACCTGGAAAACGCTTTCCTGAACCTGGGTGAGTGAGTGAGGTCCCCATCCCTGGTGGACATCAGCTTTCCGTGCTGAAGCAGAAGAAACAAATGACCATTCTATTAACTCAAGTTTGTGGGGAGGTGTGGCTTCTTTACATGATTTGGGTGGCTTTATAATCTTCACCGTATAAATTTAGGAAGGGTTTAAGTTGGTAGAACAGATATTTGCCGAGGGAGAGTGAGACAACAAGAGAGAGCGCTCTGTTGGAGAAGCTCCCCTCTCCCGCAAGGGGTCCGTCGCCCTCAGGGCTCCCTGGGTTACAGCCACAGCGAGCTGAGCGTGTCAGAGGACCCCTGGTTTTCCCTTAGACCCACCCATCCTGCAGCGCATTCCTGTTGCATCAGGTCGTCCAGTTTGGGCCTAGATCAGGGCCTCACCCCAACTGCGGACAGAGGGGGACCTGACCCCTTTTCTTCTCTCCACAGTCCAGTGTATCCAGAACAAGCCCCTGTATTTTGCTGACCGACTGTATGACTCCATGAAGGTAAGGGCAGCTGGCTGTGAGGTCCATATTTCCATACTAGTCTTTTCCTTTTTTGTATCCCCAAATGGAGTCTCCTTGCCTAGCGGAAGGGGGAAGGAGTCCCCACAGTCTAGGTGCAGAAGTGCAGCAGTCAGCTGTGGCTGCATTCGACAGGCGTGAAAACCACAAATCCATCTTCTCTCTCTCCCAGTTACTTGAACATGTGTTTGTGTACAGGTAGAAAATAAAGTGCCCGGGAGAGAGGAAGTGCCAGCTGAGAATCGTGTCTGACTCCTGCTCAGACTCCTCAGTGATTCCCTCCTATTACCTCAGTGAAGACAAGCAAGGACGGGGAAGATTATGAAGTAACCACGATGTAATAGACATTGTGCAAATTACTTAATTTACTTTAAATAATTACCAAAGAACCTGAGGCTTGTCCTTTTGTTATTTTCTTTAAAAGTGAGGAGACTGGAACTGAGAAAGCTTCTGCTTGCTTGAGGTTACATGACCAGATTTGAACTTGGGTCTGTTGACTCCAAAACCAGCCCAGCAACTTTTCCTTGAATGAAGCATCTCTTCCCATAATCCCATCCCATGTTCCATGTCTCAGATGTGCTTTCTGGCTTTCAGGCCCTTCCACTTCCTCCAGGGACCCCCTCTTGTCCTTACTGCCGCTCCCCTTCTCAGGTTCCATGTAAAATATGACCCCTTCCTAGGTGCCTCTGGTCTGAGGCTCTGGAAGGGAACTCAGTGGTCCCTAGTGCTCATACCCTGCACGATGGCACAGAGCCACAATGAGAGCAGGGTGAGGTGGCCGCTCTAAGACCCGGAGAGCCGGGAACTGTTTGCTACATGTGGCCACTTGCACGCTTGTTAAACTGAGCCTTGCAGTGCTCAGCGCTCAGTACACATGCATTGAATGCACACGTGGGGGTTGTGCTGATGTCATGCTGGTGTGTTTCACGCTCATTTTTCTCTTCAGGGAATCGTTTCACTGCTACATTTGTGAAGTCTTAGTGGGTAGCATCAGGAACCCAAATCAATTCCAGTTTTTAATTAACGTTGAACATTGATGAACATTGTCAGTGAGTTATAACTCGGAACATCGGCTTGACTTTCAGGGCAAGGGGACACGCGACAAGGTCTTGATCAGAATCATGGTCTCCCGCAGCGAAGTGGACATGTTGAAAATCAGGTCTGAATTCAAGAAGAAGTACGGCAAGTCCCTGTACTACTACATCCAGGTGAGCCCGCAGTGCCGCGGCACCCCGCGTCCCCGCGGGGGGTCTGTGTGTTCTCACTCACTGGGGAAGACATGCTAGTCATCAACTATCAGGGACTTATTTTGAAAGTTGCACTGACGATTTGTCCTGGAATCCTATGGAATCAGGCAAATGTTTTCGATTTCCCACATCTGCCATTCTGCAATGATAATTGGTGTTCCGATGATGATCCTGTAAGAGCTGCTGACAAGCTCAAGAGACTGAAGTCAATTAAATTATACATTTTATTTATGTTTTCCTTTCTTGAAAAATCCGTGATAGGCCTGGCAACATTTACGCAGCACGCCCACCTCTCCCGTCTGTGCGGTGTCTGTTTTGGAGACACGGGGCGTTCCTGTGTGAGGAGTGACTGTGTGTAGCTCAGACAGGCATCGCAGCCCCCCTGTGTAAAGGATCCTGACACTCCCAACGGCAGGTCACTGCTTCCCGTGCTGAATTTAGAAGTGGGCCAGCTATGCCCAGGCTTATTCGGGCGCACGTTTAAAGTTCCGTTCCTGTTTAGACTCTTAGAAATTGCTTCTTCGCCTCCCTGGCTGATTGCCACATGACCTCAAGAATCTAGGAAACAGCATAGTGAGACAGGAAAGTCCCCCTCTTCTCTGAAATGAAGAGAGAAAGGGGTGGTGTTGGCGGGAAATCATAAGTTAGAGCAGTCACTTATCATGTTAATCCCTAGTACCTCGCCTTTGTTCCTTCTGTGTAGTAATAACGCGACTTGAGAATCCCCGTAGGCCACACTCCCTGAGAGCCCTCAGATGGTGGGGGTAGGGGTAGGGGTGGTGATCTAGGCAGGGCCTGCAGAGTCTTCTTCTGTTAACATGGGAGAGGCTCTGTGTGCTCTGGCTCTGCCTATATGTTATTGAGAAGTTTGGGCCTTTTTCTTGACTTTGCATTTCCTTTCTCTCCTTGGCCATTTATAGCAAGACACCAAGGGTGACTACCAGAAAGCGCTGCTATACCTGTGTGGTGGGGACGACTGAGGCCCGAGACGGCTCGAGTGTCCGGAAGCAGTGCTCCTGTGCTTCCAGCTAATGATTCTAGAAAATCAGCTTGCGACTAATAGCACGCCTCCCCCGCACCCCCCCGCCCCCGCCGCCCCTGTGCCCATCCCTGTGAGGATGATGTTAGCATTGCTCCTGCCCCCACTTTTTTAGTTTCCCAAGCATTGCCTGGCTTTCCCAACTAGTCTCCCTTTTAGCCAAAGAAATGAACATTCCAAGGAGTTGGAAGTGAATTCTATGATGTGAAACACTTTGCCTCTTGTGTACTGTGTCGTAAACAGATGAATAAACTGAATTTTTACTTTAGAACCTACGACTTTGTTGACCTCACTTTAAATTTGTTTAAAAATCAAACATACCTGAGGGCTGTGTGATTCCACGGGTAAGCCTGTCCTTAGAGGAAGAACACTCTAGAACTGAGCTCTTCAACAGCAGAGCCATGACCCAGATGTGACCATTTACATTTAAATTAATTTAAATGAGATAAAAATTTTATTTCCTCAGCCATGCCATCCACATTTCAAATGCTCAGGACCCATGCGTGGTAAGCAGCTGGTGTGCGGGGCAGCGCAGGTAGCGAGCAGAATCTCCATTGTAACGGGAAGTTCTCCCGGGCAGCCCCACGTGCCCAGGAGAGGCTACTGCCTATGGGGGAAATAGCCCAGAGTCACTCCTCCTCTGCTCATCTTTCTACAGCTAAATAAGCTGAAAACGAGCATCACTGGTGGCCTCACACTAGAGAGAGGGGTGGGGTGGTAGATTCTGGTTAGCAAATACTGCTAATGTTTCTTTCAGCCGTTGGATTTACAGAAATAGATCACATCCCGCCCCCGTCTCAAGGGCTGCCTTCAGTGAGCCAGGCTGCTGTGTTCTCGTAAAGCACATCTAGTGAAAGTGAATTCGGCCCACAGAGAAGGCAGCGAGTGCTTTTGACTATTAAGAAAGATGACTCAGAGGAGAAGGGCAACATTTGAACTGTGCCCTGAAGTCTAAGGCGATGTGTTATCGCTGGGAGGAAGCTCTGCACACGAGTCTTAGGGTTCTGACAATGGATAAGAGGCGATTTATACAACTGGCATACATTTCGGAAGACCCAAAGACTATATACAGTGAAAATTACATCTCCCCCTCTGCAACCAGCCAGGGGCCCGCCCCCTGCAGAGACGTGGTTTATAGTCCTTTCACAGATTGGCTGTACAATATATATGTTATTTATGTATCTATGTTCATAATGTAAAGGTGGTTGTTCATAGGCTGCTGGCCCCGGATCCTGCAGACAGCTGGCGTATACAGGTACTTCCTGAAGCAGGGTGTAGGGCTGGGCAAAGGAGGGGGCGAGGGGGTGGAGGCAGCGGGGATTGAGCTGACCCCACACACTTACCCTACATGTCCTCCTCATCAGAGGATACTGTGTCAACCACTAATTCTTGACACCTGGTCCCTCCTGGGTGAGGATCAGTGGCTCTAGACCCCTATGTGGTTTGCTTGTCCCTTCCTGGGCAAGTCCTAGTAAATTCCTAGGGCAAATTCTGCAGCCTGCAGGGACTGGGCAGGTAGTGCAAATAGATGTGTGAAGCAGGCTGGTTGGACAGAATTAGGAAGTCTGGGGAGATGGAGAATGTCTGCCCGGGGCAAACATCCAAATTCAAGTAAAATGAGACTGTGTGAACCAAGCAAAATACATCTGTGGGCTGACTGACTTGCTTTTTTGACCCTTTGGCAAACTAGATAGAAACTCAGACGGAGCATGGCTCTTGAGCCACTAGTGACCCATGAAGTGTCTAAGGCTCCTGAGCTAGTCTTTAAAAAAGCAGGTTACACAAAAATAGGGTGTTTTCTCAAATGTACCCTTCTAGGCATATTAGAATTGATGCACCAAATCCCCGAATACATTTTTCTGTGTGCTTAGGGTAGAGTTCAAGGAACTGCATAGAAAGCAGGACCTGTCTGTCTCACCCCGAATTGTCCTGTTGAACTCTCAGAGGAGGGCTGAATCGAACTCTTTGGGGAGGGCTGGGCAGAGGCTTCAGGAGCATTGTTTCAGATCAGGAAGTGCTCAGGCTTCGTCTCCTCCCAACTTACGGTGTGTTTCAGGCTGCACAAAGGGGAGGCGGTAAAGGCGAAGGCGGGCCTTGCAGCTGGCGTGAAGGCAGGCTTCTGCTCCTGCCCTGTGCGGGCCAGCCTGGCCCCTGGTTGGGCTGGTCAGGAACCCCTGGCTGGCGTGAGGGAAAATCCAAAAGGCAGGTGAGCACAAGAAGGGCTCCTGGGGGAGGGGCCATTCCAAATGCTCCTGCTGGCTCTCCCCTGTACAGAGCGATGGTCGTCCAGTGTTCTCCAAAACTGACAGAAAGGGCGCTTGGACTTTGGTCTCATAGTCTTCTGGGTTTTAGCCTGTCTTCCTCAATCAAGCTGTCCAAAGCATTTCTTGAAGAACCATCTGGAGATTTGAGTATTCTCCCAATTTTACTTTGCAAAGACAAGGAATGGGACAGCAGACAGGCTTTTTAACATTGTGTCAGCTGATAAGAAATTTTGATTTCATTCCTTGAGGTCAGCAATGCGTGCAGTATAGCCATGAAAACTTACTGAACTACGAATGAACAAGCAGATGACTGTCCTCCTGCCCCCATCTGCATGATGGGCCTGGGCTGGGCTGGGCTGTCACATGGCACCGTTGCGAATGGCAGCCTCCACACCGTAGCTTATGTGAATGGTGCCTCCCTGGAGCTGTGCAGTGTGCAGCCTGAGCAGCCGTATGTGACGACCCTTTCTGGTGGCCCTATGTGTGGGAGATGGCCTATCAGACCTTTTGTCAGAGAGTTGGCATCCAGATTAAAGCTGGAAGACAGATCTCACTTGGAAACAGATAAACCTCACAAAACCTCATCCTTTCCATGGACTCTTGACCTTTGGACCTGTCTTACGGGACTATGCACAAATGCGCGTGAATCTAACCGGTATGTGAAGCTCCTATGGTGTGAATTATTAGTAAAGACCGCTAAGGCAGGGAAAACCAGTTTGCAAAGTGGCTACATTTAGCAAGAAAAATGATTTGAGGACAGAAATCTTTTAAATCAATTTTTAGTCTTTAAATGACTCCAATCTCCAGGCCTCTCCCCACATTTTGACAAACGGCTTTGGTTTCTTATCCACATCAGTTTATTTGACCTCCTTTTTCCATCAACTACCAAAATGAAAACTCCGCTGCACGCGAGAGAGGGAGCAATTTTAAACATCTCATAGCAATGAGGCAGAACATGCTATAGCCATCAAGTTCTAGTTGTTCGTTCTATTTATTGAAAAAAGCCTGTAGCCTGATTTCTTTTATGCGAGTACATTTGAGCAAGCAAAGTTTATAGAGATGACTTATCTCATTACATTAGAAGAGTGATTTGCTATCTCAGCATCTATAAGCAATTTTAACAGACATTTCTGGATGAAGAAAAGCTTTTGTAAATATATGCGAAAGACACAATTTCATCAAGCATTAAATTGGAGGTGCCCTGGAAAAAATATTACATTTGTGCATTCAATTAGCTTGATTGTGGCTGAATTTTGTCCACGGAAGGCAGCATTTCTGCAGAAAAACAGAAGCATTCCCTATGTCAGCAGGTTTCCTAAAACAGAAAAGCACACTTTCCCCCTTTGCAAGTCCTCTTTTGCATTTGTGCTGTTCCCAGCTACGCGTCCCTAATCAGACTGCTCAGTCTTGTTCTCCACAGTAGAGGGTAAGGGGAGAGTGAACCAGAAGCCACTTTATTTAGGCCTTATGGAAACCCAAACCCAGCAGTTTCAACTTTAAATAGCCTGTGTTTGGTCTAAAAACTAGGTGAGCTCTTGGAAAAATTGGGACTGAGGAAATAGAAAATGGTTGGGGTATAAGAGGGCCTTTTTGGACCCCCGAAATCACAGTAAAGAAATGAGCTAAGTTTTAGGATGATCACCAGCCCACCCAACTCCTCCACTTCGCTGTTCTGTGGAGTTGAACCATCTGAGCTTTCTATTAAGCAACAAGCCAGAAGAGATACATTATGTCAATGAATGTGGCTGTGGGTGTGGCTGTTATTTTTAAACACCAGGTGAGGACAAATTAGGACTTTCCCAGCTGTAATTCACTGTAGCCCATGGCTAGCATTTCTAAAGATTAATTCAAGGGTTAATAAGGAATTTGGATCAGGAATAGAGAAATGTTTCAAACAAGATCTAGGTTGCTATATCAGAGAGGTTGACAGATTTCAAATTTTACCATGGATCCTTGAGCTTTGAAGAACCATTTTGGTCTTAATGGATGACCTTTGTTCCAATAAATATGAACTCATATGATGAAGAAGATGTTTAAAGTCTAGAGTTGAGCAGGTAGGACATCAGTCATTTACTTGTTCACTCACTGATGTATTAATTTATTCAATAGACAGTCCTACTATGCACTGGTCCCTGAACTAAGCACTGGGGATCTGAAGAACAAGGCAACACTGACCACATAGAAAGATAAGGGCTAGGATCAAGGAAGGCACAGGTGAGGTGCTTCAGGGCCCAGAATGGCTGATTCTCACCCAGGGCAAAGCATCTGGAAGGTTTCTGGGAGAGGCCCAGAATTTGTTTTTGTAATTTTTTTTTTCTGACACACTAGAGGAATACATAATCATAGTAGAAATTTGAAAAATACAGTAAACTATAAGGAAGGAAATCCAAATCACCTGGAACTACAATCGGACCCCATCACAGCTAACATTCTGGCAGGTTGACCTGTTTGAGTATTAGCTCCTGTTTCCTTGGCAGTAAGCTCATTAGGAAAGAAGGAGAGATGATTTTTCCTCCCCAAACCACTTCCTCAAGAAGAAAGGCCCAGAGTTAGGCAGCGAAGTCTAGGCTTCTGTTGCCCCCACAGAAAAGGTAAGTGGTTTTTGATTTTTCAAAGTCTAGTTCAAGAAGACAAAGACCTGCCTTTTCTCAAAGAGGAGGGAGGGCTCTGGGGTGAAAGGCAGAAGTGAGTAACTGATCCCAGGGACAGCTGGCTTTGCAGAGACTGGGCTGGGCAGTGCCCAGGTGACGGGGACAGTGCCCAGCCTCCACGCAGTGCCTGTGTGTCCGT